TCGCGGATGTTATGTTTGAAGGCTGCGAGGGCCTCTGCATCCGGACAGTCAACGATTTGATTTTTCTTTGTTAAGAACCGTGTCGAGAATTGTCTGGCCGATTCGTCTGGCTGCTGGATTATGTGGCTTAGGTCATCGGCGTCTGGTGGTCGCACATATGTGCCCTGGAAGTTGTCGAGGAATGCGGCTTCCAGGTCCTCCCAACACCCAATTGACTCTGCGGGCAGGCTGTTAAGCCAATGCCGAGCTGGTCCTTTAAGCTTGAGCGGGAGATATTTGATAGCATGGAGATCGTCGCCGCGGGCCATATGGATATGAAGGAGATAATCCTCGATCCAAACCGCGGGGTCTGTTGTGCCATCGTAGGATTCGATGTTGACGGGTTTAAACCCTTCAGGGATTTGATGATCCATTACTTCGTCTGTGAAGCATAGTGGGTGTGCGGCGCCTCTGTATTGAGCAATATCACGACGTAGCTCAAGGGAGCGTTCTCTGCTGTGTTCGGCCCGGCCGGAGTTGTTATATCCGGCGCGGCGATATTCGTCGTGGGTCGTGGGGTGCCCACGTGATCCATAGATAGATCTGGATTGTCTTGCCTTGTCTTCCAATATATCCCGCAAGTCCGGCGCGTTCCCCCGTGGCTTCGTACTTTCAGAGCGATGCCAGGGGATGGTCTTGATGGAGGGCCTGGATGCCTCTCTGTCGCGACCACGGGGTGGTCGGTCAGCCGTATTGTGCACTGGTGATGAAGGTATGTATGCTTCCTCCTCTAATCGGGGGAGCAACTTGCGTTTTGGGTAGCTCTTGGAGGGGCATTCGAGTTCATACTCTTAGGCCGCGAGGACCTCGGTCCATCTGTCGGCCAGCAGGTCTTGATCAGCTTGAAGCTGCTGCTGCTTTTTCTTTAGGCTACTTGTTGTGGCCATTAGCCTACGTTTGAAACGCTCTTGTTCGACGGGATCCTCAGGCACGACGAATTCGTCGTCGTCGAGGCTTGCCTCGTCTCCGGAGGGAGGTATGTAATTATCATCCTCGACCTCTTCGTCTGTCGCTCTCTCGTGAGGGCTGGCTTCTGCATCCTCCTGCGCTGAATCTTGCTGGAGGGGATTGTCTTCGGCACTTTCTGGGGTGTTATTATCTCCTGTGCCGGAATCTCCATTCTTGCTGTGGCGGGATTTAGAGCGGCGCCGCTGACGTCGGCGCTTGGGCTGTTTCTTTAGGGAATCTGCCTCCGCTGCTTCTTCGCCATCCCCATCTTTTGGGGTGTCCACCATGTATATGTCGTATGACGAGGTGGTCTTCCAGTGCCCTGTAGGCGCTGGTTCTTGATCGTCTCCGGCATCGTCGTCCATACCGTCGATGTCTTCGGAGTCGTAGTCTAGCATGTCTGTTAGATCGTCGACAGTTGCTACGAAGTGGGTGGTGGGTGGGCCTTGAATTTCTTCGTCGTCCGCATCCCAACCATCCTGGCCATTGTCCGGCCAGGGCTCTCCGGATAGCGAGAGATGCTTTAGTGAATTTAGGATGTCGCCGAAGGGTGAGTGCTGAAAGATGTCCGCAGCGGTGAACTCCATGATTGGCGCCCAATCGGATTCGATTGGCAGGGGCGCAGGAGGTTCGGAGTCCGGCAGGGAGTCCGGCACCTCGGAGTCACAAGCTTTATAATGGACGAGGTCGGTGTTTGGCTCCATCGCCATGGAAGTTGCAGCTCCCGAGGCGGTGTCCAGCCACCCGTCCTCGATCTGCGCGATCGGCTCCGGACTATAGTCGGAGCGGATTCGTGTGCGGCCTCCAAGGTACTGTCCGGCGGCAGAGTTAGATCATGCCCATCGTGACAGTGCGGCACGCTCGGCTGCGGCTCGGATCCATCGAAGATCAAGTCTCCGCGGATATCCGCCGTGAAGTTTAGGCTTCCAAATCTGACCTGATGGCCAGGGGCGTAGCTTTCGATCTGCTCCAGATGGCCAAGTGAATTGGCCCGCAGTGCGAAGCCGCCGAATATGAAGATCTGTCCGGGGAGAAAAATCTCACCCTGGACGGCGTTGTTGTTGATTGAAGAAGCCATCAAGCCTATCGGTGAAGACACAGAGGAACTCTCAATGAAAGCACCAATGTCGGTGTCAAAACCGGCGGATCTCGGGTAGGGGGTCCCGAACTGTGCGTCTAGGCGGATGGTAACAGGAGACAAGGGACACGATGTTTTTACCCAGGTTCGGGCCCTCTCGATGGAGGTAAAAACCCTACTCCTTCTTGATTGATATTGATGATATGGGTAGTACAAGAGTGGATCTACCACGAGATCAAGGAGGCTAAACCCTAGAAGCTAGCCTATGGTATGATTGTTGTTGTGTCCTATGGACTAAAACCCTCCGGTTTATATAGACACCGGAGAGGGCTAGGGTTACACAGAGTCGGTTACAATGGTAGGAGATCTACATATCCGTATCGCCAAGCTTGCCTTCCACGCCAAGGAAAGTCCCATCCAGACACGGGACGAAGTCTTCAATCTTGTATCTTCATAGTCTTGGAGTCCAGCTGACGATGATAGTCCGGCTGTCCGGACACCCCCTAGTCCAGGACTCCCTCAGTCATAAAGACAAGGAGAAACCTCGGCGGCTCAGCAAAGGTATCCCCCATCTCGGGTTGTCCAAATTTCCAAATCCCAACTTCTCTTGCTTGCAAAATGTCATTGTTTGATACTTTAATGCCTTGATTGACACATGATCTTTAGTTCTTAATGTTTTCCACTACGCGTAGGTGGTTTTTCCATGTTGTTTACTTCCGATGATTGAAGCATGATCTTTTGATACTCTTCTTTTACCCTTTCTAAAAAAACAACAATTCCCTACAGAATGGTGTTTCCTTCACTTAGTTTTGTGATACTGTAGTTCTGTAAATGTAGAAATATATTTAGTAATTTTGTCTTTATATAATTTTAAAGGAAGGCGAGATACATAAAAGAAACAAGACAGTGACATATTTGTTCCAAGTTCAAACCACGGGATCCGCGAAAACGGGTCCTTCACTTCGAACAACTAATGATGTCCTTCATAGTACAACTCAACTCAAGCCTAGTGATGTTGAACCTGACCCTAGTAAGAAAATACCAATTGAGGAGTTGGATGCATACATTAGAGATCTTGCTAACAGGAAATACATTAGTATGAGTCCATGCCAACCAACTAATCATATGTATGAACAGACAAATGGTAGAAGCTTTCATGGTTATTGGTACAATGATCATCGTGGAGCAAGAGCTAGAGGGCGTCAAGGAGGGCCTGGAAAGTTTCCTTGGGCCCCCATCCCCATTTGATAGTGGATCCTTCTCCCAAGAGGTTCTCTAATCTAATGATGTTATTACCTTCTCCCAAGAGGATTTTAGTGGATCCTTCTCCCAAGAGGTTCTCCAATAGTGGATCCTTCTCCCATTTGATAGTGGATCCTTCTAACGAAACACGGAGATCGGATAAAAGGGAATCATAATGATATTACCATAATTTTACCATGGTAATTTTATGAATATACGGATCATGATCTCTGTGTTAAATTATCAATAGATTTAACAAACCCTAGCCTTGCAATCGCTATCTAATGATGTTGTTACCGATGGTGGAATGGAGGATCTCCCTGCAGAGGAGTCCAGGGTGGATCTAAGCAAAACAATTCCCCTCCAGATATTTTCTCCTCTACACTAGTCTCTTTTATCTCTTCTTTCGTAACTGTTGTGTCTCTCCTTTCCATATACTCCACTAAGGCCTTATATCCTTCCAAAAGTGTAAGGTTAGTAACAGAAGTAAGGATCCCATGTTTCTCCTATTTCGACAAATAAATACTAATTATTTAAGAGTGAAACTGGCAAAACCATGAGAATAACCATAAGAAATCCCTCGGAGAACTCTATAAAATAGAGCCATCAAAACCCATGGCAACCACCTTCTTCTCGCATTAAAGACATCACCCGAGATTTGTCCCGGTAGCCTTGCGCCCTACATCTCGGATGCAAAGAACTCCACAATCAATCGAGTGGTAAGTTTGAAACATGGCAACACTTGGATTGCCTTGCCATTGGTTTTGGAAACACGCTTGGTTTCATACTTTCCGAATTCCCCACAGCACGGCAGTGAATCCCACCGTCATAAGATTGTGACGGCCTTTTCTCAACCCATTGAAACAACCATTCACATTACCAAATTGGCAATTGACGCCAATCACCCAATTGACAACATTCCACACAAAATACATTTTGGCTCACATTATCTCCCCCTCCCTTGAGCAAAGCCTCTCTGGTTAGGAATCAACCAGGGATCAAAGGAATTTTTATTCTCAGGGGAATTTTAACCTTCCAAAGGAATTTGTAAGGAACAATCTCATAGTTTTGAATGACAGAATAAAAGGACTTAAAATAAAACCGTTCTAAAGAAGAGAGGAGCCACACCAATTTTTCATCAGAATCTGTAGGGGCAATCTCACCACACATCTTTTCAAGATCCGTCCATTGATTTAGTTTCACACCTTCAACTCTACTGTAATTAACAGTGAGTATTATGTGTAGTTCTGTGTCGCTTTTGAGTCATGGCACCAACGCGCTTACCAGCCATCGGCTTTCCTTTCTGAGCTCGGTCACCCCTCGCTCCGTCTCCAAGAGCTTGCCTTGCGGTAAATATATCATTCATCTTTTCGCATATATCTAGTATACATGTACATAGAATTGTATTTATTACAGGCTGTAGCGCCTGTATCTAGTATATATAACATACTGTACAAATGTATTTGTTACAGGCCGTAGCTCCTGTATCATGTATATATACATACAACAGTATTTGTTACAGGCTGTAGCTCCTGTATCTATTATATATACATTAGCTGAAAACCATACAACTGTATTTATTACAGGCTGTACAAATTCATCAAACGCACTGAGACAAAAAAAAATGATAAGCTAGATAGAAAGACTGTCAAAAATAATGGATCATTTGCATACTACCAACAATCTCCATGAATCATACGGATAGTTCCCTGATTTTCCTTATCACATTTGCCTGCAACACAACAAAAACAAACACACCACATAAATTCCAGGCTGCAGAAGTGAATGGAATTTAATTTCATTGTATTGATGCCCTTGATGCTTCATATTTAAGAAATGCCGTCGTCAACTAACCAGTCTCCATTGCAAATCCTCAATAGATTTTTGTCTCTCCCAAACGTAGTGTTTCATTGACTGCAGATAAAATGAAAAGAAGTGAGATATAAAGAAGCACTTGGCAAAACGGATATCTGGAGGGTGGAAATAAAGAATGATTTTAGGAGGGCTCCTACCCCTGTTCGTTGAACCTCAACTGATCTTCGTAATGCCTCTCTCTTTGTCAGGAGATTACTGGGTGATGATTTTGTTGGGCGGCGGTAATTCTTTCCACGGTAAAGTATTATGGCATGGCTATTTGTGAGCTTTTGTGTTGCTATTAGCATTCCTCCTGTCTCAACCTCAAGCAGCATTGATGTGTACGTTATTTGGTAAGCTTGATTCTGCTTAGTAATTACTTTCACAATCTCTTTATGTTTCCAGTGTTGATGAATCTCTTCAATTACACCGTCAAAGATACCACGTCTTCCTGCGAGGGAAACAAAGCAAAATAGCTTTTGGGATCAGTAACGGGTAATTAAGTAGCCTTTCTTGGTCACTTGGACATGCATAAGAGCACATATGAACAAAAAATATATGTAAATGCAGAAAGCCATACCAAGGAGCACATGCTCATCCATTTTTAGGCCAATCTTTCGGAATATCATTCTTTCCTCCTCTGTCAAGAGTTCTTTATCTGCAGATTGCTCTGAAGGGTTCCAAGAACCATGAAGCTTCGCAAGCGCTTGGTTGGATCTCTCAATTTTTTTTGTAAGCTGCAGCCAACATCAGTTTTATTCCATTAGGTACTATAAGAAAGGTTAGATTTGAAACGAGAACACAAATGTAAGATCAGAGCTTACAATGAAAAGTCTCCATTGCTGGTCTTTCAACTCTTTCTCCAGTCTATGCTTCTCGGCCTCTAGTTCTATCAAGGCCATGTTGTTTTCAGTTGTTTCCTGCACATGGTTAAGCTGGAAATCCTGATATTCCCTGAAAGATCCTACAGAACTTTCCTCAGATGGTAAACCAGCGAACATCTGAAGTGAGTCCATCACTGTTAATCGGGCTTCTTCTTCCTTCACCTGCTGGGCATCTACCCGAGCCTCTTGCTCAATAACAGATCGTTTAACTCCACCAGGAAGAAAATCCTTGCCTCTATATAGAATAATGAAATCTTTGTTTCTCAATATGATAGTTCCTCCAGTAAGATGCTGCACTGAGAAGATTCAGTGTCATATAGACGAAGGTACAACAACTATCTCTGAGACAAAGAAGTAAGAAAGCATGAGCATTTAATTGCTTATGTTTAGTCTAATTTAGTATTATAGCCTTCACAGTATTTTGTACAGTATATATGTTTGATACTCAAATGCACCAACTATTATGAACTTTTTACAGGGCAAGTATCATAAACAGATTTCATGAGGAAGAGCACTTGCCTTAAGATTCCATGCCATTTGCTCATTATTGGTATTCTGGATGCCCACTTTCACTGCAATCTTCACTATAAGGCTCTTTTCCCAAAGCTTTAGCACAGCAGCTGCCAAACCTTGTAGTCTTGTATTTCTACCTAGCAAAGATTAGTTGGGACAAATTTATAAGCCTCCTATGATAGTTTTCTTGTGATTCTACATTATTTCTTGTGGAACATTAAGGTGATGTATGCATAAGACAGTAAGAGTGCCGGAAGCAATTAATACTTAATCATCCTGTAAAATTATGGTTATTTGGAATCACCCATAAACATATATTACAAGTGCAAAGTCTGGAAGGTAATAGCATAATCACCTAGAGCAAAATGTGTTGGCAAAGGACGTGCAAGCTTGCGCAGGTATGTCAGCTCCTCATCTGCTAGTGTCAGTCTCACACCAGGAGGGCACTGTCTAAATGGAGTTTTGAAGCCTGGAACAACTTCTGGAAGGAGATCAGCATCCACAGGCAATGGCGTGTTCCACCACCAATCTACAAACCGAGGGCCCAAGCTGTCCAACAGTCTGTTGACTTCTCTCTCATAGAGTGTTCCTTCGACAGGTTCTTCATATGCGTGAACACCAAGGCTTGGATCAATCTCTCGGAAAACACCATGAGCATCACCATTATGATTTTTTGAAGGCTCGGTGTTGCTTTCGTGTTTCCATTGGGGCTCAGGCACAGTACATTCTTCAGGGGGAACTCTCTGAATATCAGCTATGGACTTGTGACGATGTTTTGTGTTTTCTAGATAATTACTTGCTCTGTAAACAAAATGAACGTCTCCTTTTGTCCAAACAACTAAACCTCCTGACTTTATCTGATAAAAAAGGAAGACCAACAAACAAGATTTGAGACTTGACTCGGGCATGGTAATTCCGTAATAAAAAAACTAAAATAGTTGATAAGTGAACAAATTTCACTCTGCATTAACATTATCTCAAAGCACAATTTCAGTATGACACAACTGGTTGCCCTCACACATTAACTCTTAACTCAATAAGAGCCTCTGCGGAACAGAACATAGGAATTGAAAAAAAAATGAATAGGACAGAAATTGGATGTCATAATGTGTTCTATCTACATGAATTGAGCATAATATGTGTTGTTTGCTACAACACTGGAAACCACATGAATTGTGTTCCGGGATTAGTTGCATACCAGAATTGTCATGGAACATTTCCTCTGGAACTGAGTGCAAAGTAGCACACAAGAAGAAGAGGAAATCTTATCCTACAAATCAAACAACCTCTATGGGCTAGAACTGAAGTCCTACAAAAATTTCTTTCAGTCGAAGAGGCCATTAAAAACTCAGATTTACCAAACATCAGAAGTTGTGCAGAGAATGTCAACATTTCCAACTATAGACTGTCTAGCTAGCTTACTACAACACCCATGCATCCACCAGTGTCAGCTATGAGGACATCGAAATTTCACATCTATTTCCCACATGTAACACACACTCTTTTTTTTCTTTTTTTCCTTTTTCGAAAAGGGGGGACTCCCCGGCCTCTGCATCAGAACGATGCATACGGCCACACATGTAACACACACAGCCACTAGAATTCACATTTGCTCTGTCCATGAAGCAGAGCTGCATCAAATCGCTGCTAGTTAAGCACCCACAACAAAAATGTAGGTAAAAATGGAGCTCAATGTAATCGCAGCTAATTGCCTACTCACCTCAAGGATCTCCCTCGCTCTGTCCATGCACCGGCGGAGCGGCTCGACGACCCGGACGGCGGCGAGCTCCCGGCCGCCGGCCCAGACCCCGCGCACGTCCTCCACCACCGCGTCCGTCACCCCGGCCTTCTTGGCCCGCACCCACCCGTCCGCCACCCCGCGCGCCGCCCGCCGCAGCCGCTCCAGCTCGGCGGGGTCCAGCAGCCGCTCCGCGGGGGTGGGCTCCCGCGCCTTCTTCTGCCGCCGCAGCGCGGCCTTGAGGCCCTCGTCCCGCGCCGCGGACCATGGGACCGGCCTCCCATTCCCGCCACCCCCCGCCTCCCCTCCCCGGCATTCCTCGGCCGGGAGGTCGAACAAGGGGACGGCGCCGCGGGTGCTGGGTCTGGGCCTCGGGCTAGGCGGGTCGGAGAGCTCCAGGGAGCGGACCCGGCGGATGATCCCGAGCATGGCGCGGCGGGTGCGGCCGCCGGGGACGCCGGCGCTGAGGGGGTTGGCGGAGGAGCCGGTTTCTCTTTGCCGCTGCGGCTTCGAACTCGAAGGGGCCTCTGAAGGCTGTGGAGGGGTCACTGTGGCGGGGGGTTTCGGGCCGTGGAGCCACGGCGGCGGCGGCGGCGGCTGCTTCGGGGACGGGGAGAAGAGGGGGAGCGGAGGTGGCGCCATGGCGGCCGAGCTGTGTGCTGGAGAGCGGAAACCAGTGAGGATAAGTGGGGCCCACAATTAACAATATGAAATATGTCCACTTAACACGGTATATTTATAACCACTAAAAAGAGAGTTTATGGAATGGCTCCCACAACAGATAAGAGTTCATTTTGTGTTAAAAAAATGATAAGAGTTCATTTCTTAAAAAAAAACAGTTAACAGTTCATGATATTATAACGCGTATAATCGTGGGACAGCGTTGCTGAAAAGCACTAGTACTGGTAATTTGACAGACTTTCTAAACTCATGGTGGTCTCCCTTCTGCTCGCCTTTAGCGGCCATGGTGGTCAGCGCTGGATTGGATGGAGTTCTGGATCCAGATTCTTCACCTCCCTTGGGGCCAGGCAGGTGACGAAGAGGTGTGGGGAAAGATGATCCTCAACGGCTGATCCTTCGGTGGTATTCCTTAGTCGGTTCCATGGCGATGCTTTGGCCCGTCCGGCTTCACCTCACTTTTTTTTTCTTTTTTTTCTTGTTGGAATAAATCTCAATTAGATGGTTTGTTGGATGACATGATTTCTCCTTTTTGTCCACTTTTTGGATTTAACATTTCAAAACTATCAGTCCAACAAAAGAAATTTTGTACTCCCTCTGTTCCTAAATGTAAGTCTTTGTAGAGATTCCATTATAAACAGCATACGGATGTATATAGATGCATTTTAAGTTTAGATTCATTCATTTTGCTCTGTATGTAGTCCACCTAATGAAATCTTCACAAAGACTTATATTTACGAACAGAGGGAGTATAAAATGATTTGTTTGCATATACATGTGTCAAAATAAGTTTTTTTTATGCCTGAGTTAGGCTGCAGAGCCCCAAATATCCTCTGACGGGTTGAGCCGCGCCCTTCCATTCCGCCGCTAGGGTGTGGAGGGGTTACGGTGGCAGGGGCTTTGGGGCCGTGGAGCCACAGCGGTGGTGACGGCTGCTTCGCGGACGGGGAGAAGAGGGGGAGTGGAGGTGGCGCCATGGCAACCGGGCTCCACATCTGCGATGTGTGTGTTGAAGAGCAAAAGGTAGCGAGGATAAGTGGGCCCCATAGTTGGTTTCATGGTGAAGCTTTGGCCCGCCCGGCTTAATCCCCATTTCTTTTTTTGTTGTTGTTGGAATAAATCTCAATTAGATGGTCTATTGGATGATATAGTTTCTCCTTTTCGACCACTTTTTCATTTAACATTTCAAAAATATCAGTCGAACAAAAGAAAAATTGTATAAAATGATTTGTTTGAATATACAGGTGGAACAGTCAGTTTTTTTTGAGGTGGCAGAGTCAGGCTGCAGAGCCCCAACCAAAGGGACCTCCTATACGCCGCGCTTTGCGGCAAATTGGCGGCGTGCCGCACAGAGAGGGACCCGACTGGGCCGGCCCATGGAGTTCTACCGCAGGATGCAAAAATACAGGAGAATAATGAAGCACGCGTGACCCAGGAATCAAACCTGAGACCAGCTGCGTACTATACTAGCATGCACTAGTAGCCACTCCAACTAACCACTACTGCTGTCAAATAAAGCAGTGCACAACTTAAAAAAGTAGTCATAAATGTAAAACAGAAACGGTATCCTGCAGCGACCAGGAACCAGTACTGTAGAAAATTAGCTATTGTAGCGAATCTGAATTAGTTACTGGGGTGAACATTTTTTAATGCATATTTTGAAAAAGTATCAACATTTCTTGAATTCCTGAAGAAGAAAAACGGAGACAGAAACATTTTCTGAATATGTGAACAAAAAAATTGAAAAAGCTATGCATTGCTTAATTCAGTTTCCATGCGTGCTAATGATTCCAAGTTTCCAATTGTCCGATTTACAGCGCTAATATCTAAGAATAACAACAGTGACAAAACACAACACTTTTTGATTTATTCGAACAAATCTTGAAAATTATGAACACTTTTAAGGTAAGTAATGTTTCAAAGTTTGAACATTTGTGAAACAACGCAAACAAATTTTGAAACTCCAAACAAATTTTTTGAATACATGAACAATTTTAAAAACAGGAACATTTTTTGAAATTTCTGAACAAAAAGTTGAAAAGCTGACCATTTATTGAATCTGCGAACAATTTTTTGAAAACACAAACAAATTTTTAAAAACACGAACAATTTTTGAAAAATGGGAACAAATGTGAAATCCCAATTTTTTTTGAAAAAATGAACAAATTTGGAAATGTGAACATTTTATAAAAATCACGAAAAAAATTTGAAACTCCGAACAAATTTTGGAAACACAAACAAAATTTTGTACATTTTTTGAAAAGAATGAAATGTTTTTGGAAACCTGAACAAAAAAATTCGAACATCTTTTTTAGAACCGAACAAAGTATTGAATATACCGAACTTTTTTAAAAATTGCGAACAATTTTTGAAACTGAAACATTTTTTGAAATCCCAAACATTTTTTTAAAAGTTGTCAAAAGTTTGAACAAAAACATTCGTAACAATTTTGTTAAAACACAATTTTTTTTTGAAAATTCCGAACAAATTTTGAAAAATGCATACAGTTTTTGAAGGAACCTTCCAAAACCGGAAAAAACCAGCTGGAAACCTCTAGAAGGTTCCCAAAACCGGGAACCCTGGAACCGTTAAGCGGGCCGGCCCGTTGCGTCGCTGCTTGTCGCTCGGCAGTTTGAGGCAACGAGCGGCAAATAGGAAATTCCCCAACCAAATCCCCTCGGCCCGTTCCATTCCGCCGCCAGGGTTAGTGGCCGCCGGTCCGCTGCCGCCGCCGCCGCCCTCCACCTCCGCGAGGCTCGACTCGTCGCCGCCGCCGCCGCCGGGTTCGCAGGACGTGTGCCCCCTGACCCCGCGCGTCCCTCGCCGCTCCTCCCCGTCAACCACCGCCGGCCGGAGCGCCTCCCCACTTCTCCACCGCCATCTAGGCCCCCGCCCGCCCCTCTTCCCCAACCCTGCTGGTTCGACAAGCAGCCTCACCGTCACGTGCTCCCTGCGCCGCCGCAGGTAACACTCTGCTAGTAACAAATCTTGCAAAATCTGCATAGTAGCCAAATCCTGCAATCCCTTGCTTCACACTGCACAAATGGAAGATTCTTAGCTAGTAGTAAGAACATATGAGCTTAACCTGTGTGTAGACTCTAGTGCAGAAACATTAGCCTAAGCTTTGCACTACACAAATGGGAGCATTACCAATGTCCAGGTTGCTATGATTCAGCAGGCTGATGTGATTATGTAGTTACCAGTGAAGCTATTTATCCGATAGGATTGGTCATGACATGTCTGTTTTTCTTTCCCGGTTCTACCAAACAAGCGAGTGGTGTGGTCTAGTAGTTGATATCTGTAATTACACTTGAATTCTTTCTCAGTTTTTATCAGTGGCATGGAAGTGAATTTAGGATTTAAGAGAGAGACCGAGACGGCTCCTCCTTGTTTCATCAGAAATAAATTACTTGCATTAGGAAATTATTCAACTTTCTACTTCTGACAGCAATATTATTTCCAGTTCTGGGTTTCAAGTTCTGATCCATTTTCTCTAACTTTACAGTGCCACACAGACCTAGCAGCTAGCTACCTCTGAAGGAAAAAAAAAACTTGCGGCCATCATGCCAGCAGCACCGCCGCCGACGCTCCCTGAGGAGCTTGTCGAAGAGATCCTCCTCCGCATCCCGCCCAACGAGCCTGCCGGCCTCCTTCGCGCCTCCCTCGTCTGCAAGTCCTGGAGCCAGGCTGTCTCCCATCGCGGATTCCGGCGCTGCCTCCACGATTTCCACGGGGCACCCCCTGTGCTCGGGTTTCTCCATGATTGGGACGACGAGGACATCCCCGACTTCATCTCCGCCACTGTGTCGCCCTTCTCCCTTGCCGTCCCAGACAGGTGGCTCTGGCAGGCCGTCGACTGCCGCCACGGCCGCGCCCTCTTCCTCTCTGATGACCCTGATGCTGAGGAACTCCTGGTGTGGGAGCCAATCACGGGTTCCCAGCAGCGTGTGCTAGTGCCCGTGATGTCTGATATCGGCCGCACAACCGCCGCAGTGTTCTGCGCAGCAGACGGGTGTGACCACTGCAACTGCCATGGGGGCCCTTTCTGCGTTGTCTTCGTCTTCTCCGTTGACAGCGAAGATCCTGACGACGGGGAATATGACACGGCGGCATGTGTATACTCGTCAGAGACCGGTGCTTGGGGCGAGCTGACCTTGATGCATGGGGAGTTCTACATGCATTTCACATATTATTCCAGTGTGCTTGTTGGGGACTCTTTGCTCTACTTCGTGACTGATGGTGGGTTGATCCTGGAGTATGACATGGCAATGCATGGGCTGACTTGGTTCAAGGCACCATACTCTTGCTACTCCAAGGGTATACCCAGTTACATTCTCATGCCGGCGGAGGACGGTGGATTGGGACTCGTTGAAGAATTGGATCCGCATCTGCAGTTGTGGTCAAGGGAGATGACTGATGCCCGATGGATACCCAGCCGGATTATCAACTTGGGAAGTTTGTCTCTAAATGGTGCTCAAATGGGTGCAGCATGTCCGGTCCACGTGTTGGGCTTTGCGGAGGGAGTAAGCGTCATTGTTGTGACCACGGCTGCCGGCCTCTTCACAGTTCAAATACAATCAGAGGAGATAACCAGGGTGTGCGATGATCATGGATATGGTGACCTGATTCCTGTTGTTGGCTTCTACACTCCTATACCCCGAGGTGAGCACATGAGAAAAAGGGTTATGATAGGTAGAAATAGGGTTATTTAGCAGCTTAACCAATTAGTGATTGAAAATTAGTTTTTTCTTTTCTTTCTGTGGATGTGCTTCTTGGTGCAAATTCGATTGGTTATGTAGCTAGCTTGACCAGGCTGTTTCCTTCATGTTACAGTGGCAGAAGCGGAAGCATAAGCTAGTGGGTCGCATTGAAGATGGTGAATCCTGGAGTGCGGCCTGATCGACAGAGGTGGAGTTGGCCTCGTATATTCCTCACAATTTTGTGCCATCTATCTGATCTTGTCGTGGGTTGAGGATCTTGTTAAGCCACTGGGCCTTTTGGTCTTTTCCTTGAAATTACACCAAACATATTGTTTTATTTTCTCTTGGAGCCACCATGCTTTCTCAAATATGCACAATCCTCACTCTGAACCCACCTATTCTAGGACAGGCTGTGCCAGATCTTCTCAATTCTGGAGAGCCTTGCATGCCATAAAAAAGATGGTTTAAGTCAGGGTTGGCTTATATGGGTGGGAATTTCTTTTTAGACATGATGTCTGGCTGGTGGACACACCTTTAGGAATTCAGTTCAGTACCCTGTTTTCTTGTTGTGACTTGTGAGCAACAAAATGAGGTGGTTTTATCCTTGGTGAATGGGAACTACTTCAAGGTTTGCTGCCAGTTAGCGGTGTGGTGCCTTTAGCTGGTGGTTTTCATTTTGTCCAGAGTATTTTGTCAGCTTGCGACGTGCACCTTTTATTTTCTGGCTGTTTTGCGGGATCTATCTGGTGTTTCCTCCTAGGCGACTGTCCCTGATTTAGATTATACTGCCATGGAGTCTCATGGCCATCGTTGACCGTAAGGCCGGTGGATATGTCCTGCTCCCATGCAGAAGGAATCGATACCTCCACTTCATTCTTAGAATTTTCAGAATCCAGTTCCTCCACCAATCCATCCTCGTCCTCTTCCTCCATCACCCTCTGCATTTCATCCCCTTCCTCATCCCCATCAGCAAAACTAGAACCAGCTAATATTATCGACTGGCTACTCTGCCCAGTATCAGGACCACAAACATTGTGTGGCACGTACTCCGACTCTTTCTCGGGTTGGCTAGCATACACATCTTGTGGCTGTGACCCGGATAAAACAATCTCGATCGCCACTTCACCGCCCTGACCGGTTTCATACCCCCTGTGGATTTGTACGGCATTCTCCTCCTTCGGCACAGGTTGCACAAGTACATATGGGTGGATTCTTCGGTCTCGACAGCGTCTTAACAGGGACAACCAGTGTTGGCTCCTATCTACCGGCGTCAACTCCCACTTGACATTTTTACAAGATTTGGTCCACAATGCGTGAATACTGACGAAACATACTTCAGGATCCAGCCCGAAACTAGTTGTCAACCAGTACTTCATTTGTCTAATGTCCAGTCTGTCCGGGTCTGCTAGTGTCATGACGCCATTTTTAAACTCGCTAAGATCAACTCCCAACTCATTATATCGAACGTTACCAGCGCCGTAGTAAACAGTCAAATTTACTGATTCAGACATTTTCACCTGTCAGACATTGTCATCTTCTCACTAATCACAACGAACACTAATATTACCCGCTACAATAACTACGCGCTAAAATGCCACCACAAACATATTAACACTAACTAATAAACTATACAATTTAGAGAAAATTTGTGACGCCATGGTTATACCTTCGAAGCGTGCGTCTCTTCTGGTCACCGGCACCGGCCACTGGACAACGGCAGCGCCGCCCACTCGACGACCGGAGGTTCAACTCCGGTCACCCCCCAAGCTGCTGCTGCTCCTCACCACCTCCTCCTCCACAGCTGCTGCTCCTCCTCACCACCACCTCCTTCCCAACCGGACCTCCTCCACCCCACCATGGCTCCTCCCCCAAGCGCACAAAAAACTATCCCATAACAAAAAAAACACCGTAGGCCGGTGGAGAATGCTATGATCTATCTATTCTATGCCTTGGTTGTGTAAATGAGTGCAAATTGGAGGAGATCGGGGAGGAGACGGGAGCTCTACAGAGAAGAACGAGAGGAACGAGAAAGAACAGAGGCGAGCACGAAGAGGAAGGTGACAACGGGATTGGCCTTATCCAGACCTTTTCGGTCTAGGCCTGGCCGAAAAGCTTTTCGGCTACGGGCTGGCCGAAAACGGCCCATTTCGGTCTAGGCCTGGCCGAAGCTACTATTTTCGGCCCACCCTCACCCGACGAGACCTCTTCGGCCCAACTGAGGCTCATTTCGGCCTACAGCTGGACGAAAAGTCCTTTTCGGCCAAGTTCTGGCCGAAAACTACCACTTCGGCCACCACGAGACCGACAGGGTCATATTTTTGATATATTGGCAATGGGTACTATAGTTTCCGAATTAGCTATAAAAAAGGTGATAGTTTTGAAAAAAAATCGCCAGGCGCTGGCTCCGCCACTGGTTGCAGACTCCCTTCTTGAAATAACCCTTGCAAAATCATGCATAAGAATATTAATGTCAAAGGAAGTTTGTTTGCTCGAAGAGAAGACTTCTTCATTTGCTTCAACATGCTCAAAGAAGCCTAGGTTCACAGAATTTTTGCATAAGAACATGTTTTTTTATTCATAGATTTTTTTTGTTCATGAGAGAGAGGCGGGGATGTCGGACATTCATGAGAGAGGCGGTCCGGTCGTCGGACATGTCATGTGGCATTTTTTTGGTTCATAGAAAACTCCGCGTTCGGTCCGGCTGGCCTCCTCCTCTCTGTCCTGTTTTTATTTATATACTCCCTTCTTGAGTATATATAAATGATGATTTTTTTCCGCAGATGATATGTAGTGTATATGATGATATGTGTGTGTATGTATGATGATATGTCCTGATTTTTCATAAAAAAAATTCATATATATGATGATTGCATTGATAAAAAAGGGTAGATAATATAAAAATGGTTTGATTTTTAATAGCCGACGGTGAAAACAAAAATCTCACCTATGAGAGGAAATGACCGGCGGTTGACTTCCCCTCTCGATGATATGTTTCAATGGACAACATCGATGAATGTAGAATGACCGATGTTATTCTAGATAATTCAGTATAAGAAGATTCCAAGAACTAACATCTAGCATTGCTATTGTAAGCGAGTGCATTATGTTCTTTTTCACAATTAATATATAGGATGCTTAAAAAAGTTGGTACAGGACAATACAAATACAAATATGATGTTTAAAAAATGCACTTACAAAAGTACCAGTTTGCTAATTTCTTGGTCATGTACTTCTGTAACTTGGCTTACAAAAAAATGCACTTAAAATGCACTTACAAACTATCATTTTGGTCTTTGAATAATTCTTTGTGCTTTTATGGTTCTAGATAAGATTAAATAACATTTTGGTCACTTGGGCTTGATTCAGGGGATAAGCAACTCATCCGGCCACTCCCATCGCTTCTCGATGCCGGCCATGGCGCCTAAGAAGAGGTCGTACGTCTGCGAGAGCTTTTCGCCGTGCTCAAGATCGATGGGAGGAGATTGTCAGCAAATTCTGCAAGGGAGATGCAGAGAAAAGGGCAGACATAGAGGAGATCTGCAATAGGTTTCCCAGCTTGAAGATGTGCGTCGACCATGCTAGGGGCCTCATCGTCGTGGCTACAGATGATGAGAAGAAGACGATGTTCCCCCGCGACCGTGGAATTCCTCCTGTCGCTGTTTTCCTTTGGGCTATGAATGAAGCGGAAAACTCACCAGATCCACGTCAGCGTGCTAGGAGGTACGAGTACCGCCCCCGCCGTCACGCCCCTCCAGCTCCAGTGGAAGGTCTCGTCGGCGTCGTGGTCGCTGTACCAGCTGCTGTGAAGCAGGTGATTGTCCACTCTGACAGCAAGGGAGAGAGCAGTGAAGATGAGGAGGAGGAGGATGAGGAGCCAGGTGCGGACGTGGTGGTGGAGGTGGAGGACGACAACGAGCAGGAGCAGCTGGTGGTGGAGGACGACGGTGAGGGGGAGGTAGCGCAGCAGCTGCAGCCGCCTGCCGACGACGACCTGTACATGGTAGCGCCGGGGATCCCGCAGCTCGGCGACATGAGCATGCCAATCGACGCGGAGACCTACATCCGCGTCGGCATTCGCCACTCTGACTGCATCAAGAAGATGAAGGAGATGCAGAAATAAAAAAATGCGGTGAGTGTCAGTTAGACAAGTGTCAGTGTTTATGTTCAGTATGCTGAACCTGTTATGTACTGCAGCTGTTTAAGCATTGTCAAGTTGTTATGTACTGGAAGTGAAGTTGTTATGCAATAAGATGTTTAATTAAGTAGAAATGTTTTCCTCTCTGTTGCATTCCACAAAATTATAGTAGCATAAGAGAGGATACTTCTCTATATACGTATAGTAGCTAGCGTCAACCAAGCACAGAGATAAGAGAGGACACTTCTCTCTATTAGCTAGCTAACACAATACGAAATCCCTAAATTAACCCTCCAAAACCCGTAAACCCCCTTAAAAAACCCCCAGATCCTGCCAGCTGCTGACGCGTGGAGGCCTATTGGTCCCGGTTGGTATTACCAACCGGGACTAAATGTCCTCCTGCCTGGACGCCCCGTTGCGGCCACGTGGAGCTCTTCTGTCCAGGTTCGTAAGTTTTTTTTGAGACAACGTCGCGAGGCTTTATTAATTCGTCACAATGTTTACAGGGACGGAAGGTAGATTCCCGGGATAGCCTAACCAGACACGGCGGCCACCACCGAGAGATAAAGCATACCTTGCTAAGTTGTGAGCTTCATAGTTGGAGCTCCTAAGTTCATGTCTAAAACTGCAAAAATCAAAAGATGAGGAATGGGCTATTATTTCATGTACAATTGCACCATAGCTCGCCGAGTTATCCTTCTGTAGATCCTCCACTACTACTTTGCAATCCGACGCAACTTCAATCCTTCGCAAATATAGATCGTCTGCCAGTGCCAAAGCTTCTCTGATTGCTAACCTTCGAGGGTCGGTGGGTCTACAATGTTTCTGAAACCAAAAGTGGAGGCACCGATGAACATACCTCCTTGGTCTCTGCATATCACCCCAATATACCCGAATCCCTGCCTAGATATAGCTGCGTCAACGTTCATCTTAGCATTGCCTGCAGTCGGGGGTATCCACCTTGTTGGGTTCTCAGTTCTCTGCATCGTCACCCCAGGGTTCTTGGCATTTATCACCTGCAGCTCCCCCAAGTAACTAGATATGAAACTACTCACTAAGTGGGGTGATTGATAGATGTTCTCATGGATGGCCTTCCTCCTGACTCCCCATATCGCCCACAATGAGACCACCAACGATCAAAAAGCTCCTTAGTTAGTATTTCATGAATCGCAAACAACCAATCCTTCGGGTTCTCCTCTCCCCGCTCTAGCATGTGATGCACCAACTCCTCGGGGGCCAGCGCCCATACACTTGCAGCCATGGGACATAAGATCAGTGCATGCTTCCATGTATCACGGCTCCGCAGAGTAGGCAAGTATTTTTTGTTGCCATGTGACGGTGCTCCAAAACAGTCCCTGTTGGCATTGACTGCCTGGCTAAACGCCATAGAAACAACTTAAGCTTCGAGGGGACTTGGATGTGCCAAATCAAAGACCAGTTGTTGGATTCGTTGTACTCATATGAAGTCCCGCCCTCCTCGCTTAGCTATGCATCCCTGCTGTGCTTTGTCTTGAGAATCATGTGATAGGCAGATTGGACGCTGAATCTTCGTCTAGGATCATGATGCCACGCCCAGAAATCCTCGACTCGGCGCGTGCAAAGTGGGATTTTCAGAATTGCCTCGGCGTCAAAATGAGTGAACACCGTTCGAACCAAGCCCTTGTTCCAGCAAGCAGAAGTACTATCAATGAGTTGTGCGACTCTCTCAGGAGGATTTGGGACCAGAGATGTTATAGGGCGCTTGAAACTGTCTTGAGGAATCCAGTTGTGTTGCCATATCTCCGTTGATGCTCCATCTCCTATTCTACGCACCACACCTTGTGCTAGGATATCACGCCCATCCAATATTGCCCTCCATATCTGAGATGGGTGTGCCCCAAGTTTGGCTTGAAGTAAAGAGCATTCCGGGAAGTACACCGCCTTGAGGATTCGAGCGCTGAGAGATGTGTCATCTGTGAGTGTGTGCCATGCCTGCCTTGCTAACAATTCAAGGTTGAAAATTTCCAAGTCTCGAAAACCCAGGCCTCCCAAGTGCTTCGGCATGGTTAAGATATCCCATGCTACCTAGCTAGGTTTCCTCTTCCCTTGCTTAGAGCCCCACCAGAATTGTCGAATAATCGAAGTGATACTATCACAAAGACCCCTTGGCAATCTGAAGCACGACATCGAATACAAGGGGATCGCTTGGGCTACAGATTTAATTAAAACTTCCTTACCAGCAGGAGACAGTAACTTCTCCACCCATCCTTTAATCTTTTCCCAGACTCGGTCCCG